CCTACCAACAGCGGTGGACAGTGCAATTCTGAGTCAGTGCACAAAGGCACACCATGGATCCAGCCATCATCTGAAGCCACCAATTGAGCTGCTGTGGGACTGATCTGCCAAAAGAAAGGCTGGTAGGATCCTAATTGGGTTTTCTGGGGCACTGCCAATTGTCTGGAAAAGTACCTAAGGGTGAGCCCACTGGTGGGAATTTGGCTGAGCTCTCTCAGGCCAAGCCAACTGCTCAGGATTGAGCAGGACAGTGGTAATTTGGCTGAACTTTTGCGGACACTGCAGACGAGCCAGAGGTGAGTGGGTTGGTGGGAATTTGACTTTGTCTTGTTGGGTCCCCTTGGGCTCAGGTCCCTGCGTGGGCAGGAGACACTGTGCAAGGGCACCTGCGTGAGCGCCACTGGACAGGGACCACTGAATGAAAACCACTGGGTGGGAGACAGACACCCAGATAACTGAAGTCTGAGTGAGGTCCCCCTGCTCTCACAGGCTCTAAACTGACATTACCCTGGAGTCAGAAGTTCAGAGAAAAACACAAGTGGGATAGCTACCCAACTGCCTTTTAGAGCATTGTCTTCAGATCAAGAACATACCAATGTCTCGAAGAAAGCAAGCTATCCTACACAATACACAAGCACAAAGCAAGATATCACCCCCAAAGGGTGACACAGTATCAATGGATATCCTGAAGCCAGAATGTCTGATGGAACTTTCTGACACAAAACGTAAAAGAACAATGATAGAATATTTTCAATGGATGAAAGACAAACTTGAAGAATTACAGGATATTACAAGCAAAAACCAGGAGGAAATAAAAAAAAAAATTCCAGAACAATGTAGAGAAAACAAACGAAGCATTAGTGGCACTGGAAAAACAAGAAACCACTATCCAAAATATGAGGTCCAATGTTTCAGATGTTGTCAACATGATGGAGGGACACATGAGCAGAGTTGAAGAGATGGAACACGGAACCAGTGAAATAGAAGACAAAATTGTCAAAGAGCAAAAAAGCAGACTCAAAAAGGAAGGAAAAAGAAGAAAACCTAAGAATAATGTGGGACATCATCAAGAGAAATATCATGCACATCATTGGAATCCCAGAAAAGGAAAAAGCAAGTAAAGGCACTGAAAAAGTTGTGGAAGAATTACTAGAGGAAAACTTCCCAGGCATAATGAAAAATGAGAGAATATATATACAAGAAGCTCAGCGAACACGATATAGACTAGACCCCAGAAGAAAAACATCAAGGCATATCTTAGTTAAGTTTGTCAGAACCAAAGATAAGGAGAGAATCCTGAAAGTAGCAAGAGAGAAACAAAGAGTAACCTATAAGGGAGAGCAGGTAAGATTAAGTGACAATTTCTCAAAAGAAACCATACAAGCAAGAAGAGAGTGGAAGGACATATATCAAACACTCGAAGAACACAACTGTCAACCAAGAATACAGTACCCAGAAAAATTATCCATCAAATATGAAGGAGAGACCAAGATATTCCCAGAAAAGCAGAACCTAAGAGAGTTTGTAAAAACAAGACCAGCATTGCAGGAAAGACTCAGAGATGTCCTTCTTACAGAGATACCACAGAAAGCATCATGGACCAAAGTAACTAGCAACAACACCAAAAATAACTTAACACAATGATAGCAATAAAACTTTGCCTCTCAATAATCACACTGAATGTAAATTATTTAAATGCACCGCTGAAGAGAAACAGAGTAGCAGACTGGATATAAACCCCAAACCCACAATATGTTGTCTACAAGAGACACACCTGAAAAATGAAGATAAAGACAGACTAAAAATAAAAGGGTGGGGAAAAATATACCAAGCAAATGGCAACCAGAAAATATCAGGAGTGGTGATACTAATCTCTGATAAAATAAATATCAATGTGAAAACCATCACAAAGGACAAGGAAGGTCACTACATAATGCTGAGAGGGCCAATAGAACAAGAGGACATAGCAATAATAAATATCTATGCACCAAATGAAAGACCTGCAAAATACATAAAAGAAACATTAACAAAACTGAAAAAGGAAATAGACAACATTACTATAATACTTGGAGACTTCAATACACCCCTCTCAAGAAAAGATAGAACTACCAGAAAGAAACTCAACAAAGATACTGAAGAATGAAACCATACAATAAACCAACCTGACCTCATAGATATTTATAGGCTAATGCACCCACCTCAAAAAAACCCACAGTATACCTTCTTCTCCAATGTACATGGAACATTCTCCAGAATAGATCACATTCTAGGACACAAGGCAAGCATCAATAAATTTTAAAAAAACATAGAAATAATACAAAGCATCTTTTCAGACCGTAATGCTACAAAATTAGAAATTAATAAGAAGATAAAGGAGAAAAAAAAACATTTGGAAGCTGATCAACTCCTTGCTTGAACACGACTGGGTACTAGAAGAAATAAAAAATGACATTAAAAAGTTTCTGGAAACAAATGACAATAAAAACACCACTTACCAAAACTTCTGGGGAACAGCCAAAGCAGTAATCAGAGATCAATTTATATCAATAAGCAAACACATCAAAAGGCAAGAAAAATTAACCATTGACTCTCTAACTCAACATCTTCAGCAAATTGAAAAGGAACAGCAAGAAAACCTGACACCCTCTAAAAAAACCCGAAATTATAAAAATTAGAGCAGAAATAAACAAAACAGAAAACCAAAAAACAATTGAAAGTATCAACTAAACTAGGAGTTGGTTCTTTGGAAAGGTCAATAAAATCGACAAACTATTAGCAAAACTCACAAAAGAAAAAGAGAAGACAAAAATAATGCAAATAAGAGATGAATCAGGCAACATCACAACAGAACCAACTAAAATAAAAAAAAGCTAACAGTAGAATATTATGAAAAATTATACTCAAACAAATATGGAAACCTAGAGGCAATGGACAAATACCTAGAAATGTACAACCTACCTAAAGTAACAGAAACCAAAATTGAACATCTAAACAGACCCATTACAAAAGAAGAAATTGAAAAGGTAATACAACAACTTCCAACCAAAAAAAGGCCCTGGACCAGATGGTTTCACAAGTGAATTTTATCAAACATTCAGAGAAGAACTCTCACCAATTCTACATAAACTCTTTCAGGAAATAGAGAAAGATGGAATTCTCCCAGATTCATTCTATGAAGCAAACATATCCTAGATACCAAAGCCAGGAAAGGACACCACCAAAATAGAAAACTATAGGCCAATATATCTTATGAAAATAGATGCAAAAATACTGAATAAAATATTGGCCAATAGAATTAAATGATACATCAAAAAATAATTCACCACGACCAAGTGGGATTTATAACAGGTATGCAACATAAAGAAAATAATCAATGTAATTCATCACACTAACAAAGCCAAGAAAAAGAAAAACATGATCCTATCAATTGATGCAGAAAAGACTTTTGACAAAATCCAACACCCTTTCCTGATTAAAACACTCAACAAAATAGAATTAGAGGGGAATTTCTTCAACATAGTAAAAAGTATTTATGCAAACCCGAGAGCCAACATCGTTCTCAATGGAGAGAGGTTAAAGGCATTCCCTTTAAGAACAGGAACTAGGCAAGGATGCCCACTCTCACCTCTCTTATTCAGTATTGTATTGGAAGTCTTAGCGATAGCAATAAGGGAAGAGAATGAAATAAGAGGCATCCGAATGGGCAAAGAGGAGGTAAAATTATCTCTCTATACAGATTATATGATAGTATACATAGAAAACCCTAAAGACTCAGCAAGAAAACTATTGGACATAGTTGACCAATTCAGCAAAGTAGCAGGATAGAAGATCAACATACAAAAATCAGTTGGATTTCTCTACAGTGACTAAGAGAATACAGAGCTGGAGCTAAGAAAAACAATACCCTTCACAATAGCAAATCACAAGATTAAATACTTGGGAATAAATCTAACCAGAAACACAAAGGATCTATTGAAAGAAAATTGCAAAACATTGCTACAAGAAACAAAAAGAGACCTGGAGAAGTGGAAAAATATTCCTTGCTCATGGATAGGAAGACTCAATATTGTGAAAATGGCAATACTACCAAAGGCAATTTACACATTCAATGCAATCCCAATAAAAATACCAATGCCATTCTTCAAGGAGATGGAAAAGGGAATCTCTAGTTTCATTTGGAATGGAAAGAAGCCCCGAATAAACAAAGCACTCCTTAAAAATAGAAAAAAAGTAGGAGGCATCTCATTCCCTGATTTCAAATCCTACTTACACTGCCGTGGTGGTGAAGACAGCATGGTACTGGTACAATGACAGACACATAGATCAATGAAATAGAATTGAGAACCTGGAAATCAGCCCATACGTAGGGTCAACTGATTTTGACAAGGAGGTGAAATAAATTAAGTGGGGAAATGACAGCCTTTTTAACAAATGGTGTTGGCAAAATTGGAAAAATATCTGCAGAAGACTCAAGCAGGATCTGTACCTCACTTCATATACAAAAACCAACTCGAGGTGGATCATGGATCTAGGACTAAAATCCAGGACATTATACTGAGTGAGGTATCTCAGTCATAAAGGGACAAATGCTATACGGTGCCACTGTTGTAGAATGAGGCTGGCATTGGGGTGGGGGGTAAGACTGAGAAAAACTGGATGAAATATGTTT